TTTTCAAAAACTTTTTTTCAATAAATAAAAATTTGAAATTTGAAACATATTTGAAAAAAAGAGGAATTAATATTGTATTTGAAAATAACAATAAATTTTCTTATGTTTATTTCCGACTGCTATAAATTCATAACAACAAACTTTTGATTTCTGTTTACAAAGTCTTTGTCAATTTGTCTTAAAATATGTATGGAACAGTGGAACCTATAATTTTTGTTAAAAATTTCTGCAGTTTCGAAAATCGTGGCAAAATTTCTGTTCCTATGTTTTAAAAATCTTTCATGGTATTGGCCATAATGACGAATTTCTCCGGTCATATTTATTGAGCGCAAGATGAGATAAAATTTTCAAAAAACTTATCATCCTTGTTTTTGCATTAAGAGTCAAAAACATAAAACTCTATGTTTAAATAATTATAAATCTGCTTGTGAAGTGGGTGGGAATCGGCAAATAAAAAAAAAAACAGTATATTTAAATACATATAATTCTATTTATTTTTAACATGCTTACAATTATACAATGATCGTATTAACGAAGAATAATAAGTGAATAAACAAAATGATTACAAAAAAAACCTTTAATGTCACAACAATTTCAATTAAAGTGAGCAGAAAACTATTTGAGCTATAAATTATTCGTTCGGCATCTGCCGTTGCTGAGAAGCTGTCTTGAGCTTGCAACTCTCAAGCTCTCGTTCGATATAACAGCCTGTGCGCTGCTCCTGCTCGACGAGTTGTAGTAACGGCGATAGAAGGCCAGGCCTTCCAACCATTCAACTCAAGGAGATGACTCGGCGTGCCGAAAACTCAACTGAGTTCTCCGGCCAAGCCAACTCCGAGTTGCGCGGCGACTCGAAGTGTAAACACTTCGCTACCACGACTCACTCGTCAAACAGAACAACTCGCAAGCAAGTTATCCCGTTCGATCAGTTGATCAAATCGTACACTGTCGGCGATGCATAAGTCGCCGATATTTAAGCGAGCCGTATGTGCGGGTATGTGAGGGGGCAGCAGTGGATGAGGCAACCACGCGAGGCAATTCGCACGAGTCTCTCTCCCTCTTCCATGCGTGTACATGCAAGCGAGCCTCACTCGTGAGTGACCCTTGCTGATGTACACTAAACCTACTTTAATTCCGTCCGGTCCGCAGAGTAGTGGAACGTGTATAAGCATAGGAATTCCGGCGTTCCAGCGGACAGAATTAACATAGGTCTAGTGTACAGAGCTCGACAAGAGATTCACTATTTGTCTCATTAAAAAGTTCTTTATTTTTCTATTAATTCTTCTTTTTCTCTTTTATTGAGTTCGGACATTTTGTCCTTTAGTTTGTTTTTGTTCTGTGTGTGAAGAGGTGCAGTGTGCACAGTGTGTTATAATAAAGTTTTGCCACAGGTCAAAGTGAACTTTAAGTGTATTCATTTAATCATCCCTGTCCTTATAACGCCAAATCAACGACCAATTCCAACATACACCGCGAGAGCAGGCTGGCTTATAAGCTCGCGGCCTTACTCGCTCGCATGCGGGTACTACGGTGGGTCATAGACGCCACCTAGCGACAGATATCTAATCAATCCCTGAATACTGAAAAATTTTCAAACCAATTTTTAAAAAATAAAAATTTAGTATTTACAATTCCCATATGTGGAATTTAAAAATTAAAAAAAAATTAATAATCAAACAGTGAATCGATGGTTTGTTTAAATAAATTTTCATATCGCATGTTATGTATGTAACAATTTTTCAATAACTTTCACTACTCCGATGATTTTTTATTTGAATTCTTTATTCATCTAGATAAGATGCTAGATGCTTCTAGTTAAAATAATAGTTTTTGTTAACATCACAAAAATTATTGATATTTCTTTTCTCAATAACTATTAAGTTTAAAAAAAAAGTTTATAAAAAAAAGTCTTAGAATGTGATCCAGGAACATTCTCAAATTTTTCAAAATTTTTGGGAGTAATTTTAGGAACCTTTACCCGTATTTTCCGGGAATCGGAATATCGTCTCAGAAAAATCAGAAAAATTTGAGGTTGTTTCTTGAATAATTCTAAGACTTTTTTGTTTCATAAACTTTATCTCTATAGTCAATAGATTTATGATATAAAAAAGAATGAAATTTGTAAATCAATTTTTTTTATTCAAGTGCTCATTTTGTTAAGAAATAGTTATTTATGTAACAAGTGCTCAAAAGGCGTTTTTAGGCACGAGTGTGCGGAAAAAGACACGAGTGCCGGCTATGCCGGCACCAGTGGGTGTTTTTTCCGCACACTGTGCGCAAAAAGCTGGGCACGTGTTGCATACAAAATTTTATGCAATAATAGGCGAAAAATACGTTCATTTAAATGAGGCGTTTTACTACACACCAGTGTCCAGAATGGGACATTTTACCGCACACAAGTGTCCAAAAATGCTTTTTGCGCACTAAAAAATGTGCGAAAAAAGACATTTTTCGTCACACTATTGCATAAAAAATGTTATTTGACAAAACTAATAATGGTTTCTCAAAGTAGAGACTGCAAGAACATGTATTACATATATTTTACCCTCATTTAACAATGATAAGTGGTTTAAAAATTGAAATTAAAAAAATGTGACCTCAAAAAACACGTTTTTTTTTTGTATAAATTTTGTCTTCCCCAAAGAGAGAAAATGTTTACGTGGAAAGGAGCGGGGATTTGGTGAAATGGGTTGTAGAGAGAAAGGTCTCGGTATTGAGTTGATTAGTTTTGTGGTTATATGCGTAAATGAACGATAAAGTGTAGATGGACGAGCAGATGGATAGTCAAGTCGTGGAGGGAGGAGGCTTTACGAGCCTCTTCCAGGCTCTCAAGAAGTATGAAACACTTTGCAAGGCATAATGGAGTGTTTGAAGCGACAATTTTTCTTGCCTGGAGGACTATTTGTTGATCACACCTACGCCTAACAGATAGCTAACTCAGAGCCAAGCGGTAAGAAGTTACAAGCGCTGCTTTTGGGATGCCCTGCTGACAAATATCACAAGATAAATCACATGAAAAATCACAAGGAAAATGGCGTGATTGATCATGCCAAAAAAATCACGTGATATTTCCGAAAGTGACGCTTCTAAAAATGATTCATCGACCCGTATTCACGAAAAATCCCACAGAAAACCCCACAGAAATTCCCGCAGATAATCCTGCAGGGAATCTGACAAAATCCTGCATTATTTTCTGCGGGAATTCCTTAGGGTAAATTCGTGCCGCAAAATCCCGCAGAAACTCCCACAAAAAAATGAAAGGAGCAAAGAATTGAAATTGCCTGTAAAAATTTCAATGATTTCGGAAGATGAAAAGGTCAAGATATTCAGGTGATTTTTTTTTTGATTTTTAAAAAAAAATAAACATCGTCAATTATTTTCGCATTTATGTATTCAATTATATACCCCGACGGAAAAAAATTCGTTGAAGAAAAAGTAAAAGTAGTAATCAAAACCATCATATTGAATTGTAAAATGTAATAAAATGTAAAAAAATTTAAAATTACTAGCGATTTCGGACAGCCAATGCATTAAAAAAGGCAGCATAAAATCACATTTGTTTACACTTTTTTACACTTTTTTACATTTTCTTCAATATGCTATGCACGTGTGATCGCATCGACCGCAGTAGGTGATTTTCGTGAAAAAAAATGTATTAATTCCCTTATAAAAATTTCCAATAGGATCCCGCGAAATTCCTATTGGAATCCTATAGGACTCCTGTAGGAATTTCGCGAGATCCTATAGGAAATTTTTATAAGGGTTTTTATGAATAAATTAAGACAAATTATGATGGATATGTATATAAACCGAATTCAGTCATCTCAGTGCTCCCCAGTACATCTATGATGATTTTATAATGCTTTCTGCTGCATTAGAGCGGGTTGACTTTATTTCACGAAAATCACTCGCTGTGGTCAATGCGATTACGTGCGAGCTTGACCGTGATCTCAAATTCATAAGTAAAAATTGTAAGATTCAAAGTTATTATTACCGAATTTTATGTTTTTTTACATTTTTTTACTTTTTCCATGTAACTTTAACGAGCTTGAATTCATAGGGTTTTAATCTCTCTAATTATAGGTAAACAAATGTAATAAACTGTAATAAAAAGTAAAAAAGTGTAGAAAAACGTATCACATGTCCGAAATCGTGAGTAATCTTATATTTTTTTACACTTTTTTACTTTTTATTACAGTTTACAATATTATTATGCACTTTATTTAAAAAAACATTTCCGCTGGGGTAGAATATATTTAATTGTAAGCTTTAGAGAAGTGAAAAAGTTTCCCGAGACCCGGGCTTGAACCGGGGATCAGTATAGTATAATATATTATTATAATAATATAGTATTACACTAATTGATGAATGTCTCAAGTAGTAGGGAGCTGGACTTGTAACCGACTGATCACTGGTTCAAGCCCAGGTCTCGGAAAACTTATTCACTTTTCTCAAGTTTACAATTAAAAATATATTCTATATCATTAAGTACGTAAATGCAAAAATAATTGACAATGTTTAATTTTTTTTAAAAATCAAAAAAAAAATCACCTGCAGGATTTTTCCACGCATATTACGTGAATACGGGTCGATGAATCATTTTTAGAAGCGTCACTTTCGGAAATATCACGTGATTTTCCATGTGATTTTCCATGTGATTTTCCATGTGATTTTCCATGTGATTTATCATGTGGTTTTTGTCAACAGGGTGTTATCGTAGATACAACGAATACAGGCATTTTCCAGATACTGCAGTCTCAGTTCCTACTTTGTGACTTATAAGATTTGTAAGCACAGCCGCCACGAATTCAAGGTACGGTATCATCTGCGCTTGGACGAGTCACTGGCGCAGATGACGGGACGAGAAGTTGCGGTGGTAGCGCAGCGAGTATAGTGTTTAATGAATTTGAGATGAAATGTGAGAGTCCCAATTCAACGTTAAGTTTAGTAATATATATTATTAATGAAAGATGCAATGAATCTTTATTAAATGAAATTACCTGAGAGTGAAAGACTTCTTTTTCCAAGTGTATTCTGCAAAGTTGCTCTTCCCAAAGTGCATTGAAAATACTTCGTAATCTTTCTAATTCAATTTGTTGATTATCTAACTGTTGATCTAATGTTTGACAATCACGTAGAATAGCATCATAATGTTTTTCTAAAATTGAAATATTTAATTGATATTTCACAGCTATATCTCGGTTCAATTCACAAACACGCTCTTTGATTAGTCTAAGTAGTTCATTGACTTTTTGAAGTTGAATATCAAAATTTTTACAATGATTATTAAATCTTCCTGGTTCTGGAACAACCTTAGATGTCGGATGAGCATCACATTCCATCTTTAAAATGAAATAATGAATTTTAAACAATGAATTTGATAATTGTTGAAAATAAATTATAAAAAAAATATCAAAAAAGTGTGTAAATAGTCATTTCTGAAATATCAAAAAAGTTGATAAAAAGTAATTAATAATCAAAGAACAAAAAATATAAATTTTATAGAAAAAATTTTGTTTTGAGCCAAATTTTTATATCTATACTTTATAATCGTAAGAATCTCCATATCCTATTTTCACATTTATTGAAGGGGAGATTCCCGTCGCAAATAATGAAAAAAATTATTTCCTAATTTTTTTTTTTTTTTTAATACTATAAATTTCATTCATTGCAGACCTTTTGAGTATTATTTCTTACATATGATACAACAAAAAAATTTTAAGACCTATTTTATTAGCTGTAGACGAAATTTGCAGAAATCCGGGTTGTTGGTGTTTTAAATTTTTCGCCAGGGTGTGCGACTGGTCTACAGTGATCTTTTTGATATAGCTCGACGCATGCAATTTTGCTTGTCGCGGCTAAAAAAGCCCTTTTACACGGCTGTACCGCAAATTTTATTATATTTGACATCGGTTTGACTAACGTCTGTAAACGACGTAAATATTTACATTTACGTATCGGCAGTTGAGCTTGTTTACACGCTCTTTGCTCGCAGATATGTCATTAAAGGTAAAGCGTACCAAACTCAGCACAGCACCGCCGACAAAGCGCTCTAAAACTGACGCAAGCTATGAAGATCTTATTGACGAACTGGAAGATGTCGCCCGTTTTACACCTCATACTACGATGAGCCTGACCAGCGAAGATCTAAAAAAGTTCTCGCAGTCCTTTTTGAAGAGCCACGCAACACTCTTGAACATGATTGCATCTGAACGAGTCACGGAAAAGAACAAGAAGATGCAAGTGGCTGTAAATTCGAGGTGTGAGGGTTTCTTCGCGGTTGTATGCGCTTATACTGCCAAGCTCACTTACCTGGATCTTGTAAACGATTGCAAGGAGGCTCTCGCGGCTACGTGCAATAACACCAACCAGGCAACGGCGGCGTTGCAGACTGAAGCAGTGAGGACTCAGTTGGCGAAGCCTAATGTGGAGTCTGCGTGTTGTCGTTTGTCGCAGCGGTCATATGCGCGAGCGACTTCTGACGAGGCCCCGAAGCGGGACATCTTGAATGCGGTGTCAGTGACCCGTGGCCGACCCATTGCCATCAAAAAGAGCAGCAGGATCACCGTTGGATCGAGGGAGTGCGAAGAAGCGAATTGACGCGACGCCCCTGCTGTCAAGGCAGCACTCGTGAGATCCGTCAATCCAGCGACACTTGGTGGTCGTGTGGAGCGAGTGCGCTACGGCCGTGGTGCGACGATTGTAATTGAGGGTGATGGACTGTGCGCGGATACCTTTAGTGCTTGCCCGGAGCTTGCAGCTGCAGGCCTGGAGGTCAGGTCGAGCTCGCTGCTGAACCCTCGTCTCATTGTGCACGGCGTGCCTGTTGAGCTTATTGGTAACGAGATCAGCGAGTGCATCGAGCGGGATATGCCTGGCACGTCGCCTATCAAGCTGGTTTTTTTATATCCAGCTGGTAATAAAAAGCAGCGAACATGCGTGATTGAGGTCTCAGCTGATACCAGGAGGTTGCTGTTGTCTCGTGGAAGAGTCAATCTACGTTGGCACTTCTGTCGCGTCGAGGATCACCTCTTCATCATGCAGTGTTTCAAGTGCTCAAGCTTCTCGCACATAGCTGCAAGGTGCGACAAGGAGCCTTGTTGCGCATACTGTGCAGGCGAGCATCTCTCTGAAGTGTGTAACTCGAAGAGTCAGCTCAAATGTGTCAACTGCGTCAGTGCTGGGCTCAGCGACTACTCGCACTCGGCCAAGGATAAGGACAGATGTGTCCTGCTGCGCCAGAGGATTGAGCAGAAGACCAATACTATCAATTATGGATAGTGCGACCCACACGCTCTTCAAGATCGGACACGTGAACGCTCAGTCGCTGAGCGAGCCTTGTCACTTTCGTGAGGTGAGGAGCATCATGGAGCAGCATGAGCCGCATATCATGGCGGTCAGCGAGTCTTGGCTCAAGACTCATATATCATCATGTGACTTGGACGTGCCTGGCTGCGTGCTTCTCGGTCATGATCGCATCAGTCGTGGCTGCGGGGGTGTCGCGCTGTACGTGCGCAGTGATTTGCGGTGTCGATGTGTGGCTTCGTCCGAGAGACCTAGGGCGTATCTCCTTGTTATGTTTTAGGTTCGAGTAAATAAATAAGTCCAGGTTTATTAATTAATAATAGTAGTTTATTTAAATGGAATGTGGTGTATTGCCGAGGCAAGCTCCAGTGAGCGACTGACTGTACAGAGCACACAGTCGTACAGTGCAGATAACATCGTGCGGAGCTCATGTCCCCTATTGTCGCTATGCGGCACTTATATAATCGCTGCGCGATACATTACACTCCTGAGGCCGGAGTTTCTCTTCATGCTTCTGGACGTGGGCTCAGTGGCGATACTGCTCGGCGTGGTTTACAGCTCGCCTAAGGCCGGTTTTTGGAGTGATGTCGAGGAGGCTTTGCTCGACGTTAACGTGCACTACGACCGCATAATTATTGCTGGTGATTTTAACATCAACTGGACGGAGCAGTCGTCGCCTCGGACCACGCTCAGCGACTTTTTCGACGCTTTCAACATCACGCCGGTTCACTTCGACCCCACTCATCATGTTGGTACGCCACACTCGACCATAGACTACATTTATTCTAGCGGACTGCCTTGTGTGAGCTCCTTTCAGATATACCAGTCTATCATCTCCAAGAATGACGTTTTGTTGCCGACGTTTGAGCTGAAAGTACAGAATTACGTTAAGACTGCTGTTGCGCGCCGTGACTTCAGGCAGCTCAACCCTCTGCGCTTCAACGCTGATTTGGGCTCGATTGACTGGGAGCACATTGCTCGTTTGCCTGACGTGGACGATACGGTCGAGACTCTCACCGTTCGTCTCAATGGACTGTTTGACGCGCACGCTCCTCTTCGGACGATCGTGCAAAAGAAGTGCAGTAAGCCTTGGTTCGGCGCTGGTCTTAAGGCCATCATCAGAGAGCGTAACCGGGCCTGGCGGCGCTATCGGCGTCTCGGCCGTCCTGACGACTTGGTGAGGTGAAAGAGATTGCGAAATCATCTGCACGATGCTGCTTGGAACGCGAAGACGGCCTACTATCGCGCAAGACTCACCGGATGCGCCCCTGCACTGGCCTGGAGGATTCTCCGCAGTCTCAGCGTGAGTTCTCGCACTCAGGACTCTTTTATGCTGCCGGTGGACGTGGACACGCTGAACGAGGGCTTTGTGCGTGCTGGTGGTCATGTTGCCGCGTCTGTGCTTCGTCCGAAAGTCAGGGTGGCACCGGAGGAGCGCCTGTATCTCACGGACGTCGACGCCTGCGAGGTTGTCGCCGCATTCAAGCATGCACGCTCTAATGCCAGAGGTGTGGATGGTCTTGGTCTGGACCAGCTGTGGCTCTGTCTCCCGCAGATGCTGCCCGCACTGTGTCAGATATTTAGCGCTTCGTTTCGTGCTGGTGTCTTCCCGAGACTTTGGAAGGAGGCATTGGTGCGCCCGCTGCCCAAGCGCTACCCGCCACGCGATGCGAGCCATTTGCGTCCAATAAGCATACTCTGATCTCTCTCGAAGATCTTCGAGTGTGTGGCCCTCAACCGGATGAGCGACTTCCTGGAGGAGCGGGACTTCCTCGACGCTTTCCAGTCCGGATTCCGGAGATGCCATAGCACGCAGACTGCGCTCATGCGCATCGTCGACTGCTTGCGTGAATCGGTGGAGCGAGGAGAGGTCACCCTCATGGTGTCCATAGACTTCTCTCGGGCGTTTGACATGGTTGACGGCGACTTGCTGCTCTAGAAGCTGTGCGCGCTGGACTTCTCGGACGCTGCCTGCGCCTGGCTGCTCTCGTACTTATCTGGACGACCTCAATGCGTGGTAGGACCTCGGGGCGAGCGATCCCGGCCCCTGTTCAGGACAAGGGGGGTCCCGCAGGGTAGTCTGGGTGGCCCTTTCCTATTTTCGCTCTTCATCAATGATCTACCCTCAGCCTGCCGACACAGCAAATACCATCTTTGTGCCGACGACTTCACTATCTGCTCGAGCGGCTCGGCTTCGGAGGCTGAGGCAATCATCTCGAGAGTCAACGAGAACCTTGCGCGCATATCGACCTGGGCAGTGGATAACGGCTTATCAATCAACGTGAAGAAGACCCACGCTGCTTGGATTGGTAGCCGTGGATACATTGCGCGCATGCGTTCAGTACCGACCTCGCCACTGATTCTTGATGGAGAGCCGATCAATCTGCGGGACAACATTAAATTGCGCAGGTCACCGCTACGGCAAACAGGTGTTTCGCCGCACTCGCTCGTCTGCGTCGCCACCGTGACTGTCTGCCGTGGGAGACTAGACTAATGCTGGTGAAGTCGCTGGTTTTTCCGCACTTGGATTATGGTGCCGGACTCTTGGCCGATTTATCTAAGGAGCTTACTACTAGGATGGAGAGATGCATGAATACGGCGCTGCGTTTCGTCACCGGAGTGTCTAGATTCAACCACATCACGCCGTCTTATGTCGCGTGCGGGCTCCTCAAGTATAGGAGACGCCGCGACTACCTCGCTTTGTGCTTACTGGCGTCAACACTAAGGCGGGGAGGTCCTGCCTACCTGGCCAGTCGTTTGAGCTTCGTCCATCGTGATGCCCCTGGAACACTTCGTCGGTCTCAGCTAGAGCTGAAAATCCCTTGGGCTCCCACCAGCTGCCTGCAGAACGCGTTCTTCGTACACACCTCCAAGTTGTGGAATGATCTGCCTCGGGACTTGCAAGCTCGGTACCGCGGCGAGACCTTCAGGACGTACCTTTTCGCCCACATGCTCGGATGACTTGTATTGACTACCATTGTGAAATTCTCTTTTTTTTGTCTTCCTTTCTTCTATGTTTTATTTTGCTTTCTTGACA